GGGAATTACGGGGAATTACGTGGAATTACAGTGAATTAATGTGCATTACGGGAAATTAAGGGGATCAAGGGGAATTAAGGGGCATTAAGGGTGATTAAGGGGGATTAAGGGGAATTACGGGGAATTACGGGTAATTAAGGGGAATTACAAACATGGGTTTACAATCAATTAAATTACATCATTGTACAAATATCAACCAGTTGAGTCTGCTTTTGGAATTGGATTCATGTCATTGTGTTATATTCCACAAATTCCATGGAATTTCATGGAACTTGAATTTCAACAACTCCAGTGTTCGAGGCGAACCGCGGTTGGCAACCCGGTAGGCGAATCGAACAGACCAACTATTGTATAAAGTTCCATGAGGTCTCTGGAAACGATTTTCGGGAAGAAAAACGTCAAAAAAATCTATGATTTTTTTTTCCAATATTTGGAAAATCTTTGGAATTTTGCAATTCGATTGAATTCTATAGAATTCTGGAATATTTCATGTTTTGTTGAATTCTATCGAAATCTATGGGCTCCTACGGAATAATTATATTTTTTTGTTGACTTTTGAAATTTGAATTTTGGCATATCTTGGAAAATACATTTGTTTGTTTAACTTTCTAAAATTATATGAAATTATACGGTATTCTATAGAATTTACGAAATTCAATGTTTTACTTGGAATATGTTGGGATTAAGTTGTGTCCGAATTCGAATTGTATGTACTCCTTCAAATAATTTTGAATTCTATGAAGTTCTTCGGAATTACTAGTTACTGGAATTCTGTTGATTTTTTTGGATTCTGTAGAATTGTCGGAAAATCTTGGAATCGATTGAATTCTACCTAATTCTTGGCATACTTGAGGACATCATGGAAATATTGGAATATCTTGGAATTGGAAAAATTTACATGCTATCAAATATATTGGGTTTAAATGGTATTACCAAGAACTCAATCCACAGGCAGCACCAGTGAATACTGATCTCTTACTCAACCAAGTCTCCTCAGCCGGGACATTTAAAAGAAATGACAGAAGGTCAGACAAGTGAGGCCGCACTGAAGAGCTCGTCACCCAGGGAATAGAAGGATCATTGAGATTGCTGACCCAAGCTTGATGAAATTGTGCCCAGAAAGCATCGGTCACGAACTCTTCGTTCATGCAAGACAATGTCATCCGGACATATCTTCCAGGGGTGCCTTAGATGAAATAGTAACAAACTATTTGCAACTCTTATCCGGGAATTTCAATTAAATTATGGAATCTATATGTTCGATGGACGCCTTGCAATATCTGGTTTCTTTGGAATTGTGTCGGAATTCTATGAAATTATCTTGGAATTCTTTGGAGCTGCATGGACTCATCACAATATCTTGGAATTCCATGAAATTCTTTTAAAGTTTTAATGTAGGTTTTACGGGCTCGCACGAATCTTGGAATTCTATGAAATTCTTCGTCATTCTATGCAAATTCGGTACTATTTACTATTTATTATCTTTCCATTTTGAGGTCCAAGGTACCGGGAGAAATCTGCAGCCACAGATTGAGAGGCTCATTGGAAACCGTCCTCTCAAGCAAGACCTTCAACAGCTTTGCTGCACGGCCACGATCCGCTTTGGACCGCTTTCGGATCGAAAGCAATCGGATGATTGACGTAAAAAGTACCGCCTGCAATCAATTGCAGGATCGTTGACAAAATAATCAAAATTAGTTATATCTGCCCCCAAAACCTGCGTCTTGCATCTACCCAACCAAGTTTAGCGAAAAGAAACGAACAGGTGATATATAAGCAAAAATAGGATTGTGAACAAACTAGAAAAACGCCTTTGTACCACGTCCGGGTTTCGATTTCCAATTGGCGCCACCAATCTCCAACCCTTCAGGTTTTGGAAATTGAATTCCAGGCCAAATCTCTTCATGCAACCTTAGACTTTCTTAGAATGCGCCAAAAGAAATTTATATAATTACCCTGAAACAATCTACTTACTAAAAGGAAATGAAAAATATATGTAATCCGGGAAACTCTCTGAACTCGTCAATGTGCTCTTTGAACCGGGCCGTCAAATCCCTGCCCCTTTCGCATTCGAACACGTGAGCAGCAAAGGAACTTACCAAAAATCGTGCTTGCCCAGAACCAGGGGACGGCACCGCAACGTCCAGCCCATCAAGCTCCGTCAAAGCAACGATTTCCATGATTGTTTTAGCAAACCCACCGATGTGTTCAAAGTTGATCATATTTCAGGCTGAAAATCATGAATCACTGTGATGGTGTGAGATAGATGTGACAGAAGTCTGATGGCGATGCGCCCCATGATACAGGATGATATTTTTTTCATATTATTGACTTTGAAACCAATCTCAGTCATTTTTCTGCCAACGAAACTGTTTGCAGTGCCCGCATACAACAAAAGTAACAGTAGCGGCTTAATTTGAGTGAAACTGCCGCAGACTAATGCAGCAGCATGGGTCAGAGACCTTGCCTCGGCTTCATGCGAATTATCTGGAATTATGTCGCAATTAATTCTTCGCATTTCTCTTGGAATTCTATGGAACTATATGGATTATAAGGAATTCTTGGACTTCTGTTGCATTTCGTTTTAAAACTATATGAAATTCTTGGGACTGCTTGGATAAATCTGTCGAATTGTATGGAATTGCTGGAATATATTGCAATTCTATGAAATTGCATGAATATCTTCGTACTATCTGGAACTCTATATTTCGATTTCTTTGGAATTCATGTTAGGTCTTCAAATTGGAATTCAAATTGGAATGAGATGCTGTGGAATTTCCGTTGCAAAACTCCCAATGCATTCCAGGTTCAAGGAAAAAGTCACATTGCATTCCATGTTCATGGTAAATTCTGAATGGATGCCAGGTAACTAATACCAGGTCAACATTCTAGATATAATTGATTCCATGTTCCAAGGTGCAAAACCCAATTCATTCCAGATAAAGGTGAAAAATTCAATTCACTCCGTGTAAAAAAATAGCTACATACCAATTCTTTCCTAGAGGGCGAATTCCCAATCCATTCTACAATTCTACGTGAAAGGTCCAGTTCCCAATCCATTTCAAACCAAAAAAACAAAACTCCTCATTGATTCCAAGAAATTACCGCAGAATAACGGGACAATTCCCAAGTCATGCGAGGTTAAAGGTAAAATCCACATGATTTCTTTGGATTTCCTAAAATTCTCTCGATTTCTGTAGAATTCTCTGATCTCTGTGGAATTCTGCAGTTTCCATTGATTTCCGTTGATTTCTAATTCAATTCTCTTGGTTTCCATTGAATTTTACAGCTCCCATTGAATTCTATGCATTTTTTCTTGGATTTCTATGGATTTCTAGTATATTTTCCATTCATTTCAACAGATTTTGTATTGAATTCTCTAGTTTCTATGAAATTCTGTGCCTTCCATTTAATTCTTTTTGAATTCTTTGGAATTCTATGGAATCCTCGGGAATTCAATGGAATTCTATCGTTTCCATTGATTTCTATTCATTTTTGTTTGGCTTCTCTGGATTTCCATGCATTTTTTTTTAAATACACTTCCAATGATTTCTTTTGAATTCTATTACATGCTCTGGATTTCTGTGGAATTCTCATCTGGATTTCTCTGGAACTCTATAGTTTCCATTGGTTTCTACGGATTTCTATTGAATCATCTGGATTCGAGGTTCATTGAAGTTCTATAGTTTCCATTGCATTCTACGAATTTGTTTTAAATTCTTTGGATTTCTATGGAATCCTCTGGAATTCAATGGAATTCTATAGATTCCATTGATTTTTATGATTTTTTTTTTGCTTCTCTGGATTTCCATGCAATTTTTTAAATACAGTTCCACTGATTTCTGTTGAGTTCTATTAAATGCTCTGGATTCTTGTGGAATTCTCATCTGGGTTTCTCTGGAACTCTATAGTTTCCATTGATTTCAACGAATTTCTTTTGAATTCGTTGCATTTCCATAGTTTCCATTGATTTCTATGCTTTTCTACTGAATTCTCCGAGATTCATTGGAGTTCTATAGCGTCCATTGATTTCTATGGATTTCTCTTGATTTCTGTGAATTTCTATTGAATTCTCCGAGGTTCATTGGAGTTCTATAGTTTCCATTGACTTCTACGAATTTGTTTTGAATTCGTTCGATTTCTATGGAATCTGGAATTCTATAGTTTCCATTGATTTCAACGGATTTGTATTGAATTCTCTGGTTTCTATGAAATTCTATGCCTTCCATTGATTTCGTTTTAAATTCTTTGGATTTCTATGGAATCCTCTGGAATTCAATGGAATTCTATAGATTCCATTGATTTTTATGAATTTCTTTTGACTTCTCTGGATTTCCATGCAATTTGTTCAATACAGTTTCCACTGATATATTTTGAATTCTATCTGTTGGATTCTCATCTGGATTTCTCTGGAACTCTATAGTTTCCATTGATTTCAACGAAATTCTTTTGAATTCTTTGGATTTCTTTGGAATTCCATGGCTTCCACCGATTTCTACGGATATTTAAAGAATTATCTAATTCATTGGATGTCTATAGTTCCCATTGATTTCAATCGATTTCCCTCAAATTCTTTGGATTTCTACGGTATTCTATACCTTGCATTGATGTCTATGGATGTCTATTGAATTCACGCGAGGTTAAAAGGCAACATAGAAATCCGTAGAAATCAATGGAACATATGGAATTCCCTGGAACCCATAGTCTACCTTTAAAATAAGGCACTGACCAAAGTGCACGGTTTTCACCGCCACTGATTTTCAAGGCATTCCCTTGCAGTTTATTGTATGTGTCAAAAACTGGTTGAAACATCTTAAAGCCATAATTGGGGGAACAAAATATGTAGGGACCCGCTCCAACAAACAATATATGCAGTTGATAAACTACAGTTGGATTAAAGTTCATAGGGATTGCTTTACCCAGCACCACATATTCCCAATGTTTTCAGATCAATCTCTGCAGCCAACGATGCCGATGGCCCGGTGGACCTACTTGCCCTATCAGAAGGACTGGTGGGCAGAGGGTGTTTCCCCCCAATGGGTGGCCAAAGCAACTTTGTAACGCCCTAATGTGCGCTCATGTAGTGTTCGAATAGAGACATGTCTTGAAGCTTTTGAAATGTGACCTACCAGGTCTTCGTCCATTTGTGTCGAGGAAGCCAGGGGGGATAAACTGTCCCGGTCATGTCGTTTGTCATCTTCCAATTCATAGGTGATCTCGCCCATCATGTGATATTTGGGTTGTAGCTTCCACCGGGTCAAGCCAGCGCGGTATGCAAAGTTTGCGCATTTCTTGTACAGTTTGGCTACTTCGTTTCCATATCGAATCAAATGGTCTCGTTCACCCTGGGAAAGCCAAAGGGCACAGTGAAAAAGTGTTTTCATAAATCCATTCGCTGCTGCGATCATCTCGTGGATCTGTTTGAAATAATTCACAATTCCCTCCTCTACATTCTCAATTTCCAAGCAAATTCGCGCTTCCAAGTAGAGAAGTAAGGATGTTGTATCTGCCCCTTTGTACCAGCACCTTAGTGAATATGTTATAATGATGGGTGATTCGGGTTCAAACTTAAAGAGTGCAAATAGCAGGCGTTCACAATTTTAAAGGAAACGCGTGTCTTTATCAAACCACACCAAGAAACGCACTTGGGTATTGACTCGAGTTTGTATATCCTACCAGCGTTCTTGTCAACCCCTGCGTGTGGAGCTGAAGGGACCTCTTCTTGCAGAATTCCTTTGCATCAGAGAAAATTTCATTGAGCGCAGCCTCGATTCCCAAGTCTCCACAAGCATAATCACAAAGCGAGACCTCAGTTGGAAGGGGCTATTCAGGCTATTCTCCATGTCAGCAGCTGTTGCTTAATCACCAAAAGACCCCAAAAAATGTGAAAAGAAGTTACAAACCCAAAAGCTAAATATAAAAGTACATTTGAGGGTCAATGGCATTTGCAGCGATATCGCCAAAAACTCCTTTGTGTAGCGTGTGGAACACATCTATACGAAAGAAGTGGTGCTTGTAGGGATCACCCAAGGGCAAATGTCGTACAATAGCAGGCTCATGTGACCAGGGTGGTGGCGCACCATCTCGCATTTTCTCCATATTGTCGTAACTGATGTCAAACCAATTGTGGGACTCTTGTCCCCCCAAGCACAAGTGACAGATTCCAGCCCCGGATTTCTTTGCTGAGACATCTCTCAAATGATGCCTAACCAATTGACCGCATTTGACCAAAGCTGCCCAGTCTCCTTTCATTCCAATTGGCACTAGGTAGACTCTCTCACACGCGGTAGTCAGGTTCACAGGGATGCCTTCGTAGAAGGCTGACCGTAACTCAAGAGCCAGGTGTTCTACCAACTTCAGCAAGGGTTTGTTTTTCATTTTCTTGCCGGAGTAGACACGAGCAAGCATCACTGAATACAACATTCTGGTGACAAGGCTCTTGCCAAGGTAGTTGACACCAGGTACAGTTTCTGTAGCTTTGCGTTTGCTAGTGCCGTGGCCTAGCACAGGCTGTACTGAGACAATCATCACACCCTTTTTTTTCTGCGAGGTACCCTCATCTGCATGCACCATTACTGGTACACAGCGACCCAAGCAATCACCATGAGCTCTGTAGATAGGGTGATGAGGTTGACGTGCCCGCCACTTGCCCCAAAATTCTTCATATCGCTGAGGTGCGTTTCCCATAAAAAGAAGGTCCAACTTTCCATTGGTGTCCAAAGTTTTCACAAAATCTAGAATCGACAAAACTGGGTGGGGTTGACCCAAGCCGACATCTTTGTAATTGAAAGGTATGTCAGCTGCCAACTTGTAATCTTCAAAGTGGCCAGACAACAAGTAGGCGTGACCCGTCTGAGACAATCTCGATGCCGTTTTCAAAAAGTTTGCACTCGGTAGATCATGCGAACCTTCCAAACCACCAAATTCCTCCCAAAACGCGTCAGCGAGTGAGCAGGCTTGCGCTTCACTCACCTGAATCCAATATGCTGAAGAAGCCAGGAAAAAAACTGTACAATTTCCTCAACAAATAGCCAATAGCACCATATAATACCATATATATATATGTATTATAAGACAACAAATCAATACTCATATCGTATCTATCCCCGGGGGAAAAATAATGATCGATACCATGGTGAATTTTGCATACTCAACCCAAGTACCCCCGCTGCAATTGCAGCGGCAATAGCTTTTGCTGCAGGACCTGTTCTCTTCGATGACTTTGATTGCCTTGCCGTAGAAGGACCTGCGGGGGATTGCCGAAGGGACCCTGTCGACCAAGTTTTTTGAGCACATACATAGCAAAGGCAAAACATGTTGTTTAACTAGTTTGACGATTTTCAAACTCAAATGCATGAGTTGAGTATTTTTTGAACCAAGCACGCTGCAACTCTCGATCCAAAGTTTGGCTCCTAAAGCCAAGTGACATCACTGGAATCCCATCAGGTATGGGAAGGATTGCAATTAAGTAAGACTTGGGTCATTCCCCAAATACCACAAATAAAATTTCAATGGTTGAACTGGGCGCTCGGTGAACCTCTTTGATGTGAAAAACCATGGGTGTCTAAATATGTGGATTTTAGGGCTGACCAACACCCATCGCTCAGATCTCCACACGTGTGCATCACACGCGTGCCCAAAATGACCTTGGCTTGGCTCTATCCGCCAGGAAAGGAGCTTGGGAAAGGCCACAAAGACTTTGCAAAATGAGGCTGGGACAAAGATTGGCTCAAACATCGAGGTATACTGAAGAGATGCCGCTCCTATCAAAAGGATTGCAATATATTGCAATACAAGTGGGGAAACTTGTTGATCAAAATCAAATGGCTTGAGAGCGATCATGATTTGAAACATATTGACTGGCCTTTATCTCACGCAGAGTTTTCCCTTCGACGACGTCTTTTGTTGGCCGGTGCTGGTGCTGCACCAGACTCCGCTTCTTCTGCTTCAACTGCTTTTGCTTTCCTAGCCTTAGCCTTAGCTGCGCTCTTAGCCTTAGCTGTTGCCTTAGCTTTTGCCTTAGCCTTTGGGGCCTGGCCAGGCTGCTGACGCGGCGTGGAGGCCCGGCCAGCCCGCAAAACAGTCCTTGGCCCAGAGTCAGAGGTACTGATATTATATGGGGATGATGGTAATAGACCCGTTTTCATGGAACAAACTGATGCTGATATACCACAAAATGTGTAAAGCATGAGGTCTAGACTTCTTGAGCTTGATTTCCTCCATCAATGCCCGTGAGCACCTGATAGGTACACACAGGGCTGGGATAGGAAACGCCCGTTCTAGACATGTGCCTCAACATAGCCAATGAGAAACATCGCCATAAATTCAATGGGAATTTCAGGATCCTAAAATGGAGGTACTGTACCATATTAGGCCATATTTTGCTGGGATATTCCCTTATATATAGGCCTTATATATGGTAGGTACCTCCAATTTAGGTTCCTGAAATGGCCGTTGATCAATGCAGTAGAGTTGAGGGTCATGCTCAGATTCCACTTTCTGGATCACAGCACTGAGCGAGTCGATTTTCCTTGCAATGCAGGGGTGCTTCCAAATATTATGGTAGGAACAATGGTCCTGGGTAACTACATGTTTCCTGAAACAAGTTGAGGTATATCACGTTTGCTGCATAGATTCTTTTGGTCAGGCTTTGGGTTTGCAGAGTGCTTCACACCATCGAAGTAGCTCTTCAAATCGGCCAGCTCATCGCGCAAGGTGATGAGCTTGTCGCAATATGACTGAACTTTGGTCACCAACCTAAGTCGAAGTAGCATTGTAAATGTGATTTACTTTTGTGAAACTTTTTTTTATAGTGGTCCCAGACTATAATCAAGTAACCCTGGGCCCTCTGGTGTCTCAAGCGCTGACAACTTGTCTTTCAGCCCTTCCAACTTGGCCTGGGTCTTGAGCAGGTTGCCCATCACGGTGCCAAGATTGTCAACTGCCTGAAGGAGAGGAGGCACAATGGGGGGACGCGGGGGGAATCAGCTTGTATGAAAACACCACATGCGGCTACTTTCCCCATATATATTATAAAGGATGCACACCAGTCCTCCAATGCCGATTCAGCCTCTGGTCCCATGCCCTTGTTCTTGGTGCGGACAGAGCTAGCCTGATCATCATCATCATCATCGTCTTCATCATTAGAAGCACCTGAGTCCTCACCATCTGCATGGGCAGCGGGTGTGAGACCCAATTCAATGTCCTCCCCCTGTCCCGACACTGCCGTGCTTTCCAAGAAGGACTCTTCGTTCTCGTTCTCGAAAGAACCTGTCGTTTCAACATCAACCCAGTACTCTCGGGTCCCTTCGTACTTGTCTTTCCTGGCAGGTGTGTGCGGCAAGAGCTTCGCTTTTGAGTTTTTGCGTGGGGCCTAGACTCTGGCTTCGGGTAACTCAGTGGAAAGAGTGAGTTACACATATGCATATAGAGATAGATGAATATGTGTGTATATATATATATACACATAGTTTCAACATGTATCTTATCATATGACTGTAAAGATATTGCAAAGAAAAAACAATAGGACTGCAGTCAGTCAGATGTACGCTGAATAGAAGCAGTGGTCACCACAGAAGGGGCGATCTGGTGAAACACATTGAAGGATTGCTAGATGTAAGGACTTAGAATAGTGAGTGTGCCCTACCACTCATGATATTTCAAGAACACATCATGCAGCGATAAAACAATTATTACGGGACGGGTCCCCTCCTGGAAAAGATAATACACATTGGGTCAAAGAATATTGTGGTAGCCTCAACAAGCTTATTGTGGGGTACTTAGGCACATCAGACCGAAGGAACAAGTTTTAAGTAGGCAGTGGCTGGGTAGAAATATATTTCATAATGGTGCTTTGGAGGTATGTCTTTTGATCCAATAAGGCCCTTAACTCATATCCTTTTTAGAGAAAAACCATCCGAAGAGCTATCAAACTAAGGCGCAAATATGTGTTTGCAACATATTCCCTTCCCACAAGTCTGTCCTGGTATGGGATTTCACCCTTTTGGGCACCGTGCAGTACGCAACAGCTGCACGGATGCGTTGCCTAAGGGCTACATCGATTGAATGGCAATAAGCAATGACTATGAAATCAGTGAATGCTTTCAGCTTCAAGATGATATTTGATGTCAAAGAGAAAGATGGGGGCCCAACGCACTCCAACCCAGCTTAGTCTTCATGTGCTCCTTGCTATAATACCCTTGCGCCACATGAAGCTTTGATCTACGGCTTTTCTTCTGAATGTGCTCCACGTGCTTCTTGAAAGCATCCTATAAGGGACAGCATGCAGGTTAAATGATGGCTAGAAAAGAGCATCAAACACGTACCGGAGACCAGTGGGGACAACATGCAATATACATAATTACTTGTAGATATAGATATACTAATATATATTATATTAAAAAAATATAGATAGAAAGGATGATAGATAGACAAACAGATAGAAAGATATGGATAAGATATCTTACTTGGGCTGGTAGTATTTGCATGTTCAATTCAACAGGCTCAACAATGTTTCACAAACATGAGTCCTTGTCTCCTTTGACCTTGACTAAGAGAGATAGCAAAGCCTTCCGAGACTTACCCCCGAGCGCCCACTGCTTGTGGACCTCGGCACTCACCTCCAGCTTGCCTGAGCTGGGCTTAGGCGAACAGATCCTTCGAAGAGTAGCAAGCAAAGCACCAGGCGTCAATGCTTTCTCAGCCTGCAGGGTTGAGATGGGAAATGGAGAGGGCAGATGTATGTGACCACTTCATACATGTATGCATGTGTGGTTTCATGATTCTTCTTTGGGTGTAAGTGGGGTAATCTTTGGTGCCTCTTGTGTTGTAGTATATGCCTATACTATAGTCATATATATATATAGTCATCATTTCCTACATTTGTGACTGAACTAAATGATGGGTCCGGCCTGCTGATCATCTTCTTCTGCGACCGGTGTAGCTTCGGAAGTCTGTCAGCCGTGCGTGGGGTGGTAGATGGTGTGTTTGGCCCCAAACCCATATCATATATGATTATGGCAAATTCCACAAGAAATCCAAACCTTATAAGAATAGTGGGCGATAGTGGGCGAATACAACCACCCTTTCTAAGGATGTCATGGCGCATCAGTATGTGATATCAGTATGTGATATCAGTATGTGATATCAGTATGTGATATCAGTATGTGATATCAGTATGTGCTATCAGTATGTGATAGGTAAAAAGTTTGATAGAACTGCACATGGTTAAGTTAACAAGCGCCTCATGGGTTCCACCAGGAATGGTCGTTGCCGGACTGGGTGCGTTGGCCACATCTTCCTGCCAAACCACCCAAACCAGAAAATGGAGAGGGGTCCATTTTGGGGGCAAAGGTCTAATGATAAGCTTACATAGACCTACATAGGGGAAACATAGAGATGAATGATATACATACATATATATACTTATATTTATATATTTGTTTTTCTGATTCTGTCTAAACATTTCGATATATATATATATATATGTATAATGGGTGTATAGGTGTCGATCGGGACAGATATAGATTGGAAAATACAACAGTGCCATGTTAACATAAATGTAGCTATATATATATTTATTTATTTACATATATAGCTAGAAAAATGCATCTATACATAGAGATAGATGCTGATGCAGCATACACATATATTCACATACAGAAAAATTATATAATCATGATGATGGGATAGATCTTGGTAGAAACTGTGCGCATATATATAATATATATTTACATACAACGAGACTGGTGTTTGTGAAACCATGGGGCAGTCCTTCTGATCTGATGTGATCTTTCCCCTCTTTTGGGCACCAGAAGATGCTGGGGCTGCAGGGCTAGAATTCACTGACACCTGAGTAGGGGGAGGATAGAACATAGTTCGATCAGCATCGGAAGGTGAGAAGAGTTGCTTCCGCTGGGGAGTTGCATTGCCCTGCAAGGCCTGGAGCTTCTGCTGGGCAACCTTGGGCAATCTGTGGGGAAGGGATTGGTGTCAAAAATGGCATCAGAACACAACAGGAATTCTATGATATCTAAAAAGTTTCAGTCAGGAAGCTTTCATAACATCATCAAATGTCAACTTCTTGTTCTTCTCTTGCTGCTCTTGGAGATAAGAGTTCCCACGCAGAAGTGAGCTAGCTGACCACTGCCGGCTCAACAAAGTTTTGGGAGTATCAGTCATGGGACGTGTGCCACAACTACCCCACAACACCTGCTATATACCTGGATATAGCTGAGGAGCACAATGCATTAATACATTTTTGGGCCCAACAAGACATGTAGTGCCAGATCCATTCAGCATGCACTGCTAAAAATATTCTGCAGAGCTTGATTTCCCCAATTTGCTGCACAAAGTGGTCGAACCATCGGTTGAATTTAAGCTATGTATGTTTGTCACACACAGCCATTCTACCACGGATGGAACAAAAGGGCAGGTCCCATCAAACCTACGAGAACAATGACGTAAAAATCGAATAAAATTCTGTTTTCTGCCCGCCCTGAAAGTGTATGGTTTTTGGAGTATATTTTGTACGGATTTATACGCCACTTGTACTTAAATATACTGCCACTGTCCCCGATTTCAATCACAGTGTCCTATTTTTGGGGCTGTCGTTCAATTTCAATACAAAATTGATTGAGGCTCGTAAGGACCCCTGCACCATCCAAAAAAATACGAATTTGATACCTACAAAGAGGCATCATTTCCCTCACATTTTGCGAGGAATGAGGTGATGCCAGCAAGGTGGCAATTGAGTCCCAATACCACCATATAAGTATCGGATCACCTCTGGCATCCGGGCATCCTTCCATAGGTCAGCGTCAACAAAGACATCTGGGAAGACATCGGCCGGGACAATGTTCTCCATGTCAGGGACCTCATGGTGTGGCCGGGAATATATTTTTGGGTAGTTGTGCTGCTTGCCCCATATATATGTATATATATATAGGTAATAATATTATATATATATAAATATTAGCATTTGTGTTGAGTTGACTGGGCCCCCAACTAGAATCACAACCAAATTTGAAAGTTATATAGAAGAAGTCAAGAAATATATCATAAAAAGTATAAAAGGAAATATAATAAGCAATCCAGAACACATCAACCTTGAGGTCTGTCAAAGGAGATTTCTCTGCTTGGAAATACTTCATGGCATGGGTGAAGCGAATGCCATAGCCAACAGGGTACTCCCTCGGATGACCCAGCAGGATTCAAGAGTAGAACATGTCCAAAGAAACTGGCCGACATGCCTTTGACTTTCAATCTGTTGTTTGAAAACAAGTCTCACAAAAAAAAACAGGATATCTTAGCTTTGCACTGGGAGGATTTGAGATTGCGGTTGCCCTTGTACCTCTTGTTGCCTGCCCTGTCATAGTAGACGTCAGCAAGTTTGCGAGCTGATTTCGCTGCCCTGGAAAATTTAGAGGCAGTTTGAAACTTTCGAATGGCCCTGCTGTTGCTCCATAAAGTTGTTCTTTTGGGTGTGCGGGCTCCCCAACCCCGCATCCAAAAGGATTGGCGCCATACCTTGGACGGTGCCAACGGTGGAAAACAAATGGTATGGATTGATGGGCATCCGTTTTGGGAACGAATTTTGGCAATCAAATTCGACGATAACATCCAACAACATGTGGCCAGAATTCGTTCCCAAAACGGATGCCCATCAATCCATCAAAATGATACAATTATATGTTTCTTGATGCCTGGATAACAAACCATACATAGCGCATGTGGTCCCAAAACGGAAGCGTGCCATTGTTTTTATCCTTTGGGTCTATGACATGTTGTAGATCTCATATTTCAAGGGTTTTTTTGATAGCAGATATACAGTGCCTCCATGCGCCCCCAAAACGGAGCCCACAGATATCTTGCGAGGTATTATGTAGATGTTTCTATAGGTAAAATTGTGGATCTTGGGGATGGTCTGATAGCAAAGTTTAATGGTACCAAAATGGAAGCACAATTGTTCTAATTTCTTGGGGACTACGGCATTTGTGGTTTTCATATATATAGTTTTGATAGCAAAGTATAATGGTCCCAAAACGGAGCCCATTAGTCAGTGATTTTTTGGGGGTATAAGATTTTTGGGCCTGATCTGATAGCAGTTTGTTTGGTCTTCGAAGATTGTGGACCTGGGGAGGCTTAAAATTCTCAGGATTTCCTTTCGGGTACCAGTATTGTAGATGTACTATTGATAGTTATCAGATTAGCTCCCCAAGATCCACAGATTTCGATATTCAAAAGCCTTATATATTATAATGGTAATCAAGATGCCGTGGTTCTGCGCAACAATTCCCGAAATCTTGGGTGGCGAAAAACCAAACTGGATACTGGCTGCTCCAGCAGCCACACCCCACCTCTCGACATGATGAGGATGAGTGCCAATATCATCCTGCAAGCAGCGCAAGAGCACCCAGCTGCGGCTTACTGGGCGGTGAGTTTCCCAAAAGCGCTTGGTCCACCTCTAGTTGACAATATATCCCTTGAGCCCATAAGAAGATATTCACTAGAGAAACAACCCACATAAATGATATATATATATATATGATATATGTATCCAACAATATGATAGCGTATATTGCCAACCCTGGGGCTCCTTGCACATAGCAGATTTCCCAATTGGGCTGATGCCGATGATGGATCACCAAGAGGTAGGAAGTAGTGGCGAAACGTACTTCCACGGGAAACACTCACAAAGGACGAACACACCAATCCAAATGCATACACCGCATCAGATTTGCTTCTCAGAATTGTTGAGATAAGAAGCCTCAGGATGCATGTACTTAACTTGCTGATCACAATGAGGTCCTATCATATAGATTACACAATGCAGAGATCCATTGGCAAACTGAAATACATTCTAGAAACCCAAAACCAGCGGCCGTTGTCAAATCCAATGGGTTCCTTTTGGATACTTGGCGGCCATGTTTGATTCGGTCATCCATCCATGGCTTCCAGTCAACGATATCGAGACTGGCTGTGGCATACCCCGCAGCCAGCAAGCATTTGCTCAATGTTGCTTTTCCACTGAAGACTTCCACTGCCTGGAAAACCTACAGGGGTATAGTGGATTTCGAGATCAAAATGTTAAGATGCGCTCTGGAATATGCTATCATATTTGGTCTTCTTCAAAAATGATCAGATTAAAGGAGCCCAACAATACCTCATGGAATCCGAGAAACTGTATGTTTTTTGGGGCATGCGTATGATATGCGTATATACTATGAATATATATATATATATATGTATGTGTATATATATATATATGATATATTATACATATATGTGTGTGTGTGCGTTTATAAGTTTCGGATGTTCGTAGTGTTTTCCAACCTCATCCCACTGAAGACCCTCAGTAAACGCAAGCAGCACCACTGCAAGCATTAGCACCTGGGCCGCGGACTGGCAGTTTGACCATGATAAAAATGTCTGGAGGTGTGTCTCCCATATATGATATCCAAACCTTCCCGTAGATAGGTCCAATCCTTTTGATGGAAATTTTAACCCCAAGCCAGAATGCTCCTGAAGTGGACTGTAGGTAGGCAAAGTATCAAGAAGGGTTCCAGTCTTGCGGGGTCTCAAATTCCTCAAACCCTTGATCAATAGCCGGCATTCTTTCAAGAACATCACTCGGAAATCATTTCCCCAATAGAGGAACATCAACGGTTATCATAACAGTTATAACTTTTGAAGCTTACAGTTCCCTGTAAAACCCCCAATTTGCCAATTTGTTGCGCTATGACACTATGCCCAGGAACCCGTGGAGCATCGATGCGCAAAAGCTTGTGCAGGACACATTTGAGCTGCTGGTCAGGCATCACCATGATGGGAAAAAACCTTATCAAATATAAGGTCGGTGGTCACTCTTTGCTGCAAAAGGGCTGCGATAGATGCATGCCAGTCAAAAAAATAAAACTATCATAAATCTATTATATAAGCAGAAATGTTTTGGATACCTTTGGAATTCCTTTGATGTGAAGATCCAACCACCCAAACAGCACAGGGGAGGGCGAACCTTTGAATCCAGGATGCCTGAGCCTCCACGCTTTGCTCATCCTGGCATGCTGGCCAATTGACGTGTTTGACAAAGGGGTTCGTTATATATGTTATTGAACCCACTATAAAAAAATGTATCTATACATAAGACTATATCTAAGTAAATATATACAGTAAATATACATATCAAAAATAACAACACAACATGTGAAATTACATTTATATTTTTATGTTTATATATGCCCCTGTGCGACCTTGAAGTTGACATGTTTGGGACCTCATTTCACATTATGTAGATGAATCAAGGCACTTGGGGTTGCAACAAGTGCAGCCACTAGAGCAAAGATAAATTCCTTTTTCCGCTCATCTCGGGCAATGCTGCACGTTTCCGCGAAAGATGCCGAGTGCCAACGCACATCCAGTTAGTCACCATCAGGGCGTTCAACTGGGATTGCACTTTTTCGTTCGATAAATATAAGAAAGTGCTAATGATAATGCTCATTGATGCCAATAGATGCCACATGTAGAAATCAACATCCAGTAGCCCAGGCCCTTTCTGATGCCATGGATGTGGTGTTCACGGCAAGAACCCCAATTTTGTAGCAAGGTTGGTCCCTGCATACCCCAAACCTAAAATGATACCGGTCAAATGTAGTCCGCATCTGGCAGGACAAAGCTGATCATGACATCCTCGAAGGGTGAGCGAGTCCTTGGGTGAAGCAGGACTTTTGGGAGAATATTGGACGGGTTGTGCAAGCAATCTGTTTAGATACAACAAATAAAGAACATCGTTCACCCACCAAATAATTAATGAGACCATAAAAATAAACGTTTCTCATGCTCATTCTAGCTTCCTGGCTGCTCACCACAACATGACAGCTCGGACCTACACACTTTTGGCTGGGCTGGTTTTCTTTTTTCCTTCGGCCTTGGCTGCTTTGGTGCGCTTTTTGGGCTGATCTGCTGGCATGTTGTCAACATGCTGTTGCTGCTGCTGCTTCTGCTGCTGCTGCAAATTGCGGAAATGCTCCGCCTTTTTTCCCCGGAAACCTGCCTTCCTACACATGCCACAGCCGTTGAAAATGCAACGGCAATTGGCGCATCCATAAACTTGTCCTTCCAGCACTTCATACATCCAAGAGGTCCCAACATTCACCCGCCCTTGGGAAGGGTGTGAGCTGGTCTTGCGACGCTTGCGGGTTGCCCCCTCCCCATCAGCCTTGGTAACGCCCACACCATTCATCAGAGCAAACTTCTTAGATGTTTTTGATGTGTGCTTGCTTGTCGATGTCCCAGGTTTCTTCCCAGTCTTTGGCTTGTCACCCTTGGTTTTGGCCTGTTTTTTCTCCGTGTTTTCTGCATCGCCTTTGCTGCCTTTGCCTGTCTTATTTTTCTTGCTCTTGCCTTTGCTCTTATTTTTCGAACCCTTCTTACGGCCCCTTCTCATAGATTTCTTCATCGCAGTGCGGAGAGCAGATTGCTGTTGAGGAGTGACTCCGTCATCATCCACCTTAGGGGCACCAAACAATACCCCAGACATATAGACCGTACAGCTGCTACGCATGCAAACGAACACAGTCAGTTGATATACAGTACATATCCCAGGGCAGCACATCGGCACCATCCTTGTCGGCAGGTGGATCTGCTGCCTTGTTGACATTGATGGATTCATCCATTGGTTGTGTTTCCGCCTCGCAGAGTAGGCAACTGAAAAGGCAGAAACCCCTAGAGGGAACTCATGTGAGAACTGTCAACACTCCCACATGGGAACACAAAACAAGAGGTGCTAAGGAGCCTGTGTTGGATCACTAACCTTGGGAGCTGGGAGTGCGGGCATAGGCAAAGCTGAGCCTGCAAGTGGCAAACAGCTCATGGGCTCATGTGTACATATATACACATATATTCATACATGTATATATTTGCACATGCACCCATTCTTGTATAGTTTTGTGTTTACAGTAAAACTTAAAACAAAAAGTGCATTACATGTTTCCTTTGTTTTTTAATGTTCATCACTCTCGCACAAACATGCATGCCCTTCGACCATGTCTAGTGCTGCCTTCGGTCTTGTGCACTTTGCTCGCTGACGGCTCGGGCTGTGACCTACAATGCCGATACCAAACGTGATATTCGAACCAATGAAACAGAACAGGTTTTCAACTGGAAATGCAAACAAGACTATATGCACTTGAGTGTTTCACAAACATTTTGAGGGCAGAACTCCTGACTGGGGGAGGCTGTGTTGATCTCCAAAGCTTCAATGTCCGCAAGAACATCATTGAACATCTTACGCTGCTCCTCTGTCATCTCCACTTTGTCGATGTCAAAGGGTTGATCCTGGCCTGGGGATTCTGGGACCTTCAGCGACGAGTCAGACTTGGCCAACACACTTTGAGAGGATTTCCTTCGACGAAATTCATTTGCTGTCACGTGCTCACGCTCCCAAGAGTTCTCAAAGCACTCATCCTCAAGCTTGGCTGGGGGGTTAGAGGGACCATCACCACATGAATATGCCCACTCTTGCGGCTGAGTCCACTGGTCCCTGATCTCCTTGATGGTGGCAAACAACGCCCGAATGCGAGGGTCCTCGCAATGAAGAATCATGGGATATGTGCTATGTGGGCCTTTCTTGTGATATCCATATCAGTGTTCCATCCCCTATGTCTTGACTGAAGATTTCATTACAGCTGCAGTAAGTGAACTCGAGTGAAATCTATTATATGCATTTTTGTTTGAACCCTGTCCCGGGGTTGCTGCTGACGCTGCTCGCAATCTCTCTGGCGTCGAAATGCAAACGTGTAGAGCTGTCGAAGGTTCCACGCATCAAACCAAGCCTCCCTGGGGCCCGGCTTGTAGCCAACCAGGTCATACAAGCTCTTCACCTGCATGGGAAAAACTAAGACAAGAATCCTAACGTGTAGAGAACAGAAAAATATGTGACGCAAACACCCATGGACAAATTCTTATGTGCTTTTGCATGTGCAATATGCATTAAACACATCGCTCAGGAATTTGAATGCACAAAAAAACTCACCGCATGTGTTTCCTTCCCATGGCTCTGTGTGTGTGTGTGTGCGAATATGTTTCGCAACATGTCCACACTGCAGCGTGCAGCACAACCACACACACACACATAGTGATGGGTTCATGGCCTCTTTCTTCAAGGGATCAAGATGAACAAAGGCCCCATTCACATAGTTCAACATGATCCCGACGGCATCAACATTCATCTCAAGAGACTTGGTGCAAATGGGATATTTGTCACCCTCATCATCATCAGACTCCTCGTTCTCATGTTTTGCGGGGCGCTCCACGGTAGGCCATAGGAGCCAAGACTGCTTTTTAAACCTCTTGCGGATGACATCACATTTTTCCCAATCCACATGGAGGTTTTCAACCATCATATAAGTCAGGTTTTCAGCCGACATGCCTAGCAGTCAGCCTGGGTAGAAACACTGAAATCACAAGACAGCAACTGCCAGCCAAAGCGGCTGCGAAAGTAATCATGTGTTTGAAGCATCCGTCTCAAATTGGATGAAGTGGCCCCAATGGAATCCTCTATATATCAAATAAAAGATAATAAACGATTTCGTGTGAAGGGATTGAATCGAAACAAGTGTCCTCTGCTATAAATATATTTTTGTTTCTGTCCATATATCTCTCTCCCTCTCTATCTATCTATAGACACTTCTCTGCATCGTGCCCAGTCTGAGATTCTCAAGTGCACCCAGGACCAAACTCTTAAAGTGCCAGCTCGACCTGCCCAAGCATTGTGAAGGAAGGCAATGGCTCGGCTTTTGTCCTGGTGAGGGTACCAAAGGCCCGGTAAGTCCGTGTTTAATGCCAGCATATATGATCCTTTAGATGATTGACCCAATGGATAGATAGACAGATACATAGGGACACACAAACACATATACACACAAGTACGCACTGTGTGAGGAATGTTGTGGAAGTAAGTTTGTTGTGTATGAATATCGCATTCCGTCAAGTGCTGCACCCTGTGGCCCAATCCTTGTAAGTCAGCTGGCCATAGGTTTTGTAGGCCATTGCAAGCGACAGGGTTCAGTAAAAAAAAAGTTTAAACAATTCTGTATATATTGCATATATGTATATATATATATATTATGCAGGTATAATCTTGTTTGTTCAAATCATTTTCAGGTGCCTGTCTAAGCAGTCTTTTGCATGTTCTGATCCTCTGAAGCTTGCGGGCCCCTCACCAGCACGTTTCACGTGCCTCCTCTTGGATAGCAGCCTGGCTTGAATCAGAGAAAAAGACGCCTGGCACAGACTATGAGTGCCTGGCTGCAGGAAGCGTGGATGTTCCCAGGGTTCCAAAACTCAAAGTGCACTAAAGTGTACTATTTTCTGTGGAAGTTCACGGAATTTCTTCCAAACATGTGGAAGTGATCAAGATATAAGATACTTTCAAAAGTGCCCTATAAAAAGAGGCCACTTACGTGATGCAGGTCCATACAAATGCAAAGAATTCAAAAGAAATTTGTTGAAATCAATGGAAACTATAGAGTTCCAGAGAAACCCAGATGAGAATTCCACAAGAATCCAGAGCATTTAATAGAATTCAAAAGAAATCATTGGAACTGTATTTAAAAAAATTGAATGGAAATCCAGAGAAACCAAAAAAAAACCATAAAAATCAATGGAATCTATAGAATTCCATTGAATTAAATTCCAGAGGATTCCATAGAAATCCAAAGAATCTAAAACAAATTCGTAGAATGCAATGGAAACTATAGAACTTCAATGAACCTCGGAGAATTCAGTCGAAAAGCATAGAAATCCGTGGAAGGTATAGAATTCCGTAGAAATCCAGATGATTCAATAGAAATCCGTAGAAATCAATGGAAACTATGGAATTCCATAAAAATGCAAAGAATTCAAAAGAATTTCGTTGAAATTCATGGAAACTATAGAGTTCCAGACCAGAGAAATCCAGATGAGAATTCAACAGAAATTCAGAGCATTTAATAGAACTCAACAGAAATCAGTGGAACTTTATTTTTAAAAAATTGCATGGAAATCCAGAGAAGTCAAAAGAAATTCATAAAAATCAATGGAATCTATAGAATTCCATTGAATGCCAGAGGATTCCATAGAAATCCAATAGAATGAACCTCGGAGAATTCAATAGAAATTCACAGAAATCAATGGAAGGCACAGAACCCCGTCGAAATTCATAGAAATCAAGAGAAATCCATAGAAATCAATGGACACTATAGAACTCCAATGAATCTCGGATAGAAAAACATAGAAATCCGTGGACGGTAAAGAATTCCGTAGAAATCCAGATGATTCAATTTCCAAATCATGCCAGTTTTCAGGGTAAAATGTTCAATTCATGAAAGAATAATTTTCCTTAACTTGTTGTAACCCGTCATACGATGACAGAAACGAAAAATAATTCCGATTCTTTAATATCGAGTTGCCAGGGATACGTGATTTGTTTTGCAATTATCAAGTTGGGATCAAGGTTGAATTGATGTTGAATCGAGATAAATTATGAAATTTGTTCTTTGATGAGTAAAGTCTCATCAAAAAATGTATTCGAGGGAAATTGAGTTGGTTTCGAGTTGATTTTGAGTTGATTTTGAGGAAATTTACGTTTTTTTTATCTTAAAAAAAATCGGTTGAATTTGAGTGAATTTGAGGTTGCGCCGAGTGAATTTGAGTAAGATTTGAGGTTTCAAGGTATAAACTCAAATCTACTCAAAATCCACTCAAATCCTACTCAAACCATAAAAAACGATAGATTGAGGTGGTTTTGAGTAAGCACTCTTACCTCAACCGGACCTCAAACCGTAAAATTCCTCAACCGTAACTCAAAGAATAAAAAACAAACCTCATTTGAGCCTCAGCTGAGGCTCAGCTGAGCCTCAGCTGAGCCTCAGCTGAGGCTCAAACGTATATCACTGACTCAACCGTACCTCAGCCACACCTCAACCGTACCTCAAAGCCATTTTCTCAACACTTGCCCACGGCCATTTGCCTCCCCCACCTAACCATTCTATGATCCAAGCTAGTTATTAAAAACATAGATCCTCTGAACCAATGACTATATGAAAATAAAAGCTGCTGGCAGAAAATTTACCGCGTTTTCCTCAAAATCCCAGTTTTTTTGCGGGGCACTTTTCTGCAGAACATTTGGTTGGTGGCTTCCTAGTAGACAACCTCATTTTTGCGCAACCCTTGTCGAAAACTTGCCCCATCTGTTGCAGAAAATGATCGGTTGATTCATTGTTTGGATCATTTCGATCCCCATCTTTGCTGCGGAAAAACTCCAAGGTTTGCTGGTGAACCCCCCATGAGACCTAGATTTCTGTGCGAATTTACCCTTTTTACAGCTGTCATTGGTGCCATGGTGCCATGGTTGTTCCCTTCATGACCAACCCTGGTGCGCAGTCGTCCCAGATTCGAGCTGGACCTTGCTGGACCATAGCCTGGAAACCCGCCAAGAAACGCCAGGGTCGGTGAATCTGGGCTTTCTGGTAGATATTTCTATGGTATTCTATGGTATATCTATGGGAGATACATCTGTAAGATTCTATGGTTATCTATGATATTAATATACATATTATAATATATATATATATATCAGATTCTATGTCTTGTCGCGTGGTTAGATTGTGAACCAACAAACACGACTGCAAAACACCACCTTGCAAGAATCAGGTACAACATGTGGGATGAGATGTGTTCTTCCGGGCGAAACAAATGCTACTTGTGTAAGACATCCCCCAACCCCCATGTTTTTTTCTTGTGGTCATATATGGGTATGGGTCAATACCTATAGATACATTTTTAGTGGGATGAACATCCATTTACAAGCTATTTTGGGGTTCACTAGGTACCAGGGTTTTGACCCATCCCCATATCAATCCATCTCTTTGAACCACCACTAACGGCAAGTGTTCACCAGAGCCTGCCGCTTGCGCCGAAGTGATGTCCCCACCCCAGCGCCGCACGCGGCCTCTTGGACGATGCGATTTTGTCAAATGGTGGAAGGTCCATCAAGGTGGTAAACAAAATCAAGGAAACCATATGAAAAATGGAAAAAAAACATACCCTCTGGTAAACTAACATAGCTATTGAAAATGGCCATTTATAGTGGATTTACCAATCAAAAATTGTGATTTTCCATAGCTACGTTAAATTACCAGAGGGTAGATTTGGAGAAAAAAAACTGGTACTAGAAAATTGGAACATCATCTGAAAATCATGGTTTTAGTATAATGAGGATGCTGAAAACGGAATGCACAACCACCCTAATTTTGGTGAAATGGCAATATGTTGCAATATTTGGAACTATACTGACAACTATTGATAATGACTGTCTACTTAAAAATAACTATACAGTAGCGGATATCTATTGAACAATAATGCAAACTATTTATAATTGACAACTTTGAATAGTCGACTATATTATAGCTATATTGACATATAGTGACAACTAATATGTACGTGTGTGTATATTAATATTATATATTAATACATATATATATATATATTCCCTCAAAAACCAAGCATGTCCCGAGGCGGGTTTTCTAGGGCCAGTACCATGGTGAGGATGTGATAGGAACCCCCGAATAAAATACTGGAATTGAATGGGATTGGGATTCCTAGGGTTCTAGGCTATTGAAACATAATGACCACTACTGTTAATCATCGACCATAAATGACTATAATATACTTCTATGATGATCAATATACTTGATCAATATAATGGTAATAGTGACAACTTTGATAATCACCTAGTGAGAATCATACCCATAATCCTCTTATATTGATAGCATATCCATCCCTTAAATAATCATCAGTATCAGCTTGGTAGCCGCCCATCGAACCCACAGATGTCAATTTGGATCAT